TTTTTATATTCAAACCCAATTTCGTGCAATAGTTTTGACAACGCCGTTTTACCGCCTTTAAACAAGCCAGCTTCTTTTAAAGAGACCAAAAGCAAACGTCTAGTTGGAAACTCGTTCCTAGTATAATAACCATATATGTGGTTTCTTATTGCATCTGCATCAAAAACATCAACACCTGTCACGGGCTTTTGTCTTCGTTTTTTTCTTAGGAGTGCGTAAAACATTATCTTCACTTCCAGAAGCACCAAATTTTTCTTTATTTATATTATAGTATAGTTACACAAGAGAACGTAGTCTGTGCGCACGAGAGTACGGAAGACGACTAAACAGATCAAAATAGCGGTGGTAAGGGTGTTGCCAGAATAGTATCGCCAATTACTTAAAAAAATACACCTATAACATTGCTTAATTGAGGGAGAAAATTATATTTATTAAATGTTGTTTTATATATTATAAATGTTAAAAATTATAACATTGATGGTGAGTCTCTGCTCCAGTTTTCCTCTTCGTTTGACCTGGCAATAGTTAACACATGGTTCCAAAAACGTCACGAACATCTGATCACGTATAAAAGTGGTAGCCACGCGACACAGATCGACTACTCTCTCATAAAAAGAAGTAAGTTGGTTTGTGTCCGAGACTGCAAAGTGGTGCCCGGGGAACCCGTAGTATCGCAACATAGATTGCTGGTAATGGAGGTCAAATGGAAGAGTTTGAGTAAGAGTAGGAAGAACCGACCTTCTCCAAGAATCAGGTGGCGAATGTTAGAGAAAGAAGAGTATGCAAGTAACTTTAAGGTAAAGGTGGTAGAAAAAATGATTGAAATGAATGCAAGGCTAGATAAGTCTGTGGATGGATGGTGGAGTGAAATGGCAAATTATATACGAAAGATAGCGAGAGAAGTACTTGGGGAAACAAAAGGAAAAGGCATTATTGAAAGAGAGACATGGTGGTGGAGTGATGAGGTACAGAAAGCTCTAAAAGAAAAGAAGGATGCCTTTAAAGCGTGGAAAAATGAAAAGGTCTGTGAGAGAATGAAGGAAGTCAAAATTAATGAATATAAAGTGTGGAAGAAAAAGGCAAAAAAAGCGGTAGCGGTAGCCAGAGCTAAAGCTCAATATAACATATTTAAACACCTACATGAACCTAGCGGTCGAAAAGAACTCTACCGCATTACAAAGAACAGGGAAGAAAGAGCAAAAGACCTGAAGCATGTGAGATGTATAAAAGATGAAGAGGGGAGAGTGTTGGTTAAAGATGAAGATATAAAAAAGCGATGGAAATCTTACTTTGGAAAACTTATGAATGAAGAGAATAAATGGAGCGGAGTGCTAAAGCATGTGGATGTGAATGTCGGACTGGTGAACGAGATTAGTATAGATGAAGTTAGATTGGCAGTACGAAGTATGAAAAATGGAAAAGCAGTTGGCCCCGACGGTATACCAGTGGAAGTTTGGAAGCTACTGAAAGAAGACGGATATAAGTGGCTGACTCTATTCTTCAATATGTTGTTGCTTGAAGAGGTAATCCCAAAGGAATGGTGTCAAACCCAACTCGTACCCATTTTCAAAAACAAAGGAGATGTTCAGGAATGCAACAACTATCGAGGAATAAAGCTCATGTCACATACTATGAAAGTCTGGGAGAAAGTGATTGAGAGAAGAATAAGAGATGAGAGTCAGATAACCCAAAGTCAATTTGGGTTTATGCCAGGACGCGGGACAACAGATGCTATATTTGCAATGCGCCAACTATGTGAGAAATACAGGAGTGCGCACAAAAACTTGCATATAGTGTTTGTGGATCTCGAAAAGGCATATGATAGGGTACCCCGAGAGGTTTTGTGGTGGGCTTTGAAAGAAGAAAGAGTGCCTGTTAAGTATGTAGAATTGATTCGTGCTATGTACAGAGAGTCTAGCACTCATGTAAGGTCGGTCACGGGAAACACTGATCAATTCAGTGTCTCTGTAGGCTTGCACCAGGGATCAGCTCTGAGCCCATACCTCTTCCTGTTGATAATGGATGCTCTGACATCGGACATACAGGAGGAGGCACCTTGGTGCATGCTATTTGCAGATGACATTGTGTTGGTCGGTGAGGATGGGGTTGAGGTCCAGAGCAGACTGGAAAAATGGCAACAAAGGCTGGAGAATGTTGGCTTGAAAATCAGCAGAACCAAAACTGAGTACATGTTCTGCGATTTCGGCGGTCTCTCCAGTCCTGAAACCATTTCGCTGGATGGGATAGCGATAACAGTCTGCTCCAATTTCAAGTACCTCGGCTCCCTCTTACAATGTGATGGTGAGATTGATCGAACTGTACAGCATCGAATCAATACGGGATGGATGAAGTGGCGGCAGGTAACGGGAACAACTTGTGACCCCAGTTTCCCCTTAAAACTGAAGGGACAAATTTATAAAACTATTATCAGACCTGCCGTACTGTATGGTTCTGAAAGTTGGCCCATTAAGAGAACGGACGAGAGACGCCTGAACGTAGCCGAAATGCGAATGCTGAGATGGATGTGTGGTGTGACTCAGATGGACAAGGTTAGGAATGAGTATATACGAGGGAGTCTGAAAGTAGCGCCACTGGATGAAAAGTTAAGAAGTAATAGGTTATCTTGGTATGGACATGTCATGCGGAGGGATGAGGAAAATGTGGCGAAGAAAGTTTTAGGTATGAGAGTTGAAGGGTATAAGAGAAGAGGCAGACCGAAGAAAAGGTGGATGGACTGCGTGAGGGAGGATATGGCTAGCAAGGGAGTAAACAGTGAGATGACGCATGACAGAGTAGAATGGAAAAATCATACATACTGCGCCGACCCCAAATAAAATTGGGAAAAGGGTAGGCAGATGATGAAATGTTAAAAATTATACATAATCATTTTAATTGTATTTATTTTTAAATCATAGAAAACAGTATTTCTGTCTTTGGATCACACATAAATCTTAAAAATCATAAGATACTCATAACTACTCATTTTAATTGTATTTATTTTTAAATCATAGAAAACAGTATTTCTGTCTTTGGATCACACATAAATCTTAAAAATCATAATACTGGCAACACAGTGCAATTAGGAGACGCAAAAAAATGGTAGCATTATATTTAGTCTAGTTGCTCGAAGGAATAAGTAAAATAAAACTATCCAAATAAAATAAATATCATATCTATTCCAATGAATTCGGACCGAATACTATCAAGCACATCACTATGAAAACTAGACGCACGATGTAACTTTGTACAAGAGCGCCAAAGAACAAAAAATAAATGCTTTCATATTATTTACAAACTATTTTAAGTTTTGAAACAGAGTTTATTGGAAAATTACTTGATTCTGACATTTTGACATAAAGTTTTATATTAAAGAGGTATTCTAAATCATTCGGCAAATGTGTCGCTCGTGCAAGGTTATATCGATTAATTTAAGAATAATCTGTCAAATCGGTAATAACTCAGCGGCCGTACTAGAGTGTTGTAATTGTAACTGCATATATCTATTAAGAAATACCTAAATATTATTAGTATTTTATCTGTGGTACCCCTACTTCTTATGTTGACTGTGGACCGTTGACTTTGAATTTATACTAAATAATTTTACACCTAAATGGCAACATCATTCAAAATCTACCATACTATTTTTTCTTACTAGCAACACTTGAATTGGTTAATGTTGTTAGTGATTAAATTTTCCCATCATTTCTTGTAAATTGATTTAAGTCACAAAAAATAATAATCATTTATATTGTATTTCACTTCAGCCCATCGCCTCCAACTCTATAAGGCGCAAGTCCGACCGCATATGGAATACTGTTCTGATCTCTATTCAGGGCCAACACAGTACCAGTTTCTCTCTCTGGACCGTATCCAAAGAAGAACGACACAAAACGTCAATAGCCAAAAGATTTGCAACCGGCTCGATCCCTTGGCAGATCCTTGATCCCTTACGCAGAGATGTAGCTTCGCTTTGCATTCTCTATCGCATATATCATGGAGAGTGCTCCGAGGAATTGTTCGGACTAACACCGGCCGCAACCTTCCGCTATCTTTCCACACTGGAAAATTTTCATCATTCACTGCTGCTGTACTTGAATAGTTTACGCTCTACCACTGTGCACTTTTCAAGACACTTTTTGCCTCGTGGAACAAGTTAGTGGTATAGGCTGTGGTATTTCTGGACCGATACGACCTTCAAACTTTCAAGAAAAGAGCGTACTCCACCTCAAAAGCTGGCAACGTGCTTGTGACTCCTGACTTGCAGGCGTTCATGGGCAGCGGTAGTCGCTTTCCATCAGGTGACCTGTCTGCTTGTTTGCCCCCTATTCCATAAAAAAAACAAAGTTTTACAAATTTATTAAGTATTTAATACGATGACAGAGTTGTTTAATTTTACAAAGAATCAAATAAATTTAAATCATTCATATGTTTTTAAAATTGTTTCAATATTTTGGAATTGCATTGCATTGCATTGCACTCAAATATCTAACACTACATTGTTTTTTTTTTAGAAAAATGGCTGATATTAGGTGTGCATAAGGTGGTTCATTGTTGTATGAAAGAGCACTTCTCGCAATCAAACGTAAAATTATGCTAATAATGTAACACCTACGCGATGTTGGCCTACAATTGCGTATTGCGGTGCATGGCGCAGCACTGGCCAATTTGTACTGGAGCCTTTACAAGTTATAATGCCTTATAATAAACGTGTCAAAGTAGTTACAAACTTAATATATTATGTAAGAATGGTAAAAATAAAGTGAGGATTTATTCCCCTGAAATTTTTGTTGCTTTTTGTAGTGGAATTTTTAGTCATAGGCTGGTATCACTGCTGATGTGTTTTTCTTGTTTGAGTGTGTGAGTGATGTCTCCGCCATTGAAATTCACTTTAGCCGAGAATTGAAATAGGTTGTACCTTTCTAAATCGGCGAAAATCTTAATAATCTTATATCCGATACCTATTTTATTTTGCTGCGTACCGAGAACCAATATTTTATCAAATGGCAGACAGAGACACAGATGAGTTAAACATCGATAACGTAATAAAAAAATTATTAAAAGGTAATTGTTGATATCGTCTGAAATAAACAAACTTAAAAGTGCAACATAATAAAATCAGTGATAAGTTAAATGTTTAGTGCATATATGTGTCAGTTATGTGAATAAATTGTGTTATTATGTGTTGGTGATATGTTTACGTTTGTTTTCAGTTCGAGGCGAAAAGCCTGGAATGAATGTACAGTTAACGGAAATAGAGATCAAAGGGCTATGCTTGAAATCTCGAGAAATATTCTTGTCACAACCAATATTACTTGAATTAGAAGCACCGCTAAAAATTTGCGGTAAGTACTTACCATAGTTGATCACTTTCCTTTGCGAACCTTCCACTTTCGAAATTATGAAACTGCTTATTTCGTCTCTTTTAACATTTTTAAAGGTTTTTCTAATTATCGTGTGTTGAAGGTAAGATAACATTGTGACAATAGTTACCCTCGAAAGACAGTTTGTCATTTCACTAATCATATTTATCCTCTTTCTATTCATAAAATGTAATGACGTTACTTGCTATTACAGCGGGAAAAAGGACTATTTTGTGGGAAAAAGCCTTTTATTCACATCAATAAGTTGAACTGTCCATTGTAATTCTATACATAAAAAGTTTGATATTTAAGCTTGTTTTTATCTTATTAAAATACACAATTTTTTACCGACTTCCCAAAAGGAGGAGATTTTTAATTAGTCGGAATCTTTTTTTTATGTATGTTCACCGATTGGTCGAAGACGCCAGAACCGATTTGAAAAAATATTTTTTCGTTTTAAAGGGTATATTTTCCAGGTGGTCCCATTAAAATTTTATTGAAAACGGTCAAGCGCTTTTCTATAAATCAACAAAAATCGAATCGATGATATTTTTGTTTACTTACGAAACCTTGCTGTCTCATTGAATCAGTGCGTTTAGTTGGTCTTTGTTAGTAACGTTTGAAGTGGGTTTATTTTTTTTCAAAAGGATTTATGCTAGTAATTTTGAACAAATGTTTAACAACGCTCGATTACGACAAATCGATAACATAGTTATAAATTTTTATCTCCCAATATGAGATCATCATTATATACAATGTGAGTACTATTAAAATTATGTCATGAAAGCTGAAATAATCAATTGAATAAGATGATAAGTTATTTATACTGTTATAGTAACGGGCAAGTATCCTCGTGAGTAACAGGCTGCTCCTAGAAGTCTTTGAGTGGTCCTGGAGGCTGCTAGCGTCAGCTAGGGTGCCACAACTAGTTGGCCTTATCTGAATGCATTTGTAGCCCTCCGCTGAATTCAGAATTATTCCATTTGTTCGCGTGAAAAGTGCTGCCTTAGTCACCACTAAGGCAGCACTTTTCACGCTTGTACGATATGTAACTGCAGTCAACAAGGCCTTGGATTTGATACCCGGACCTGGTAATTCTTATAGGGTTTTTAATCAACATAATAGAAATCCAAATTGTGGGTAATAGCTACATTATTAAACCCCATACTATAACTAAGACAAACACCAGTTTACATTGCTTTAGGTATAAACAACATAAAAATGCATGTTGTCGCACAAAACCAATAATATTTACATAACATTTGTTGTAATGGAGTTATTTAATTTCTTTTCATTGTTAACTGTATTGTGAGGTGCTCTGGTATAATAACATGGAAGTAATTTAAGTGTAAATTTGCATACTAAAGAATATAAGCCTTTTTACACGCTTTATATTAGCTTCACTTGTATGTTTGTAACCGACTCCTTTGGGCGTGATTTTGACTGAGTGACGGTCAGAATTCGTTCAAACTTTGTAGATATATTGAGGACCGATGACAATACACCAATTTAAAAAAAAATAGTTTTAAAAAAGGTAGTTTAGTAAGTAAGAAAATATAATGAATTTTCTGAAATAATTACTCTATGGTTTAAAAAAAAGCTGTATGTGCTAATAACAATAACAGTAAAACATAGCTAGCCTTCCATGAGACAATATGGGAAACTCTTTAAATGTTTGTTTTGCCTCCGATCTTATATATGTGTAGCTGTTTCACACACCTGCTCTGATCCTACAGGTTGTAGTGGTATTTTTCATCATCTAAATATTACTTTCTCAGTTAAGAAACTAACATAAAATACAATTTCACAAAAATGATTGATTTGTTCTAAATATCAGTATGTACATTTAAATAAACAAATAACCATAAAATCCATATTCTACCTACTTCTCTAGTTAGGAAGGAACAAAAAGATAATGTTAATCATTACTCACTAACATTTCAGCTAGAAGCAAACTATATTTCTATTCCAATTTAATTTGCTGAAGGTGGCAGTGTACCTCCTGGCTACAGAACACTCATTTTCCAAAGCGCCTAATATTAGTTAGGTTATTGGATCTATTTAGTGTTGCTAGATTTGCTGTGTGGTGACGGATTAAGAATATGGAGTGTCACCACCACAGTGTCATAAGAACCTAAGGGTATTTTGAAAAAAAAAACATATACCAACCAGTCTGGCCTGCGTGGTATAGTATGCCAAACCTCCTTTATAACGAGAGGCCTATGTCCAACAGTTGACTATTAAAGGCTGTTGATGATGATGATTGATGAGAATTGTTTATTATTTGGGAATTTAAATGATCAATTGTATATTACATCCTGTGATGATTTCAACCAGATGCATTGGCATTAATTAACAAAAAATATTCAAACTGCCTGCAAACATCTAAAATAATTAACAAGAGTTGTACTTAATGCCATGGGCATTTTCTTCTAGTCAAACATTTAGGTGTTGGAAAACTGTGCATGGCATATGAGACAAACTGATGTATATAATGGAAAAAAATATCTAGTTTAGCATTAACATAGTTTATACATACAATACTAAAGTATTAATATCCTTCAAAAACTCAAAAAGTTTTGCATCAATTGATCTCAAATTTTGACACAAAATAGAAACCGCTTCAAAAGCTTGTTTTAAACATAAAAATATATTTTTTTTGTTCCTCATTTCAGTACAGCTAAATTATAATATATGATCATACAATGAGAATGTTTATGAGTTATACCAACCAAACCACTATTGATTGTAATACAAGACATGTGATGCATTTAAAATGAAATTTACGATGATGAGAACATTGCAAACATGAGTTAGAACTTGTCCATATTCCTGTCTTTATCTTGTGCCTGAGCTTATCATGGGATTAATTTTATAATCAGTTGTTTGCTGTTCATACACAATTTTCAAGCTTTGAATTTGATATAAATATCGTACTAGGTTATTGAATGTATATTTGCCTACAACCACAGTGTCCTTTGAACAGGGCTACTATGGGTGGGAGACATCTTTGAAACTATTAAAGTAATTTATTTTAATCATACAAAAATAGGAGGACTAGTTATCTTTTATAAGTTGTTTACATCATTGTGGATACAATGTGTTGTGGTTTAAGTCAGTTAAACATTTCACTTCAGTGTCTTCAGGGTTTAATTTATTCTCAGTGCAAAAATGTGAATGCATGAAATATATATATATATATATATATATAATTCATCATTATTGCCTATGCTTGTCCACTGCTGGACATAGGCCTTTCCCAATGATTTCCAGCGGGGACGGTTGATTGCGGCCTGCATCCAACGGTTTCCGACAACGTTTAACAACTCCTTCCGTCCATTGGGTAAGCGGTCGTCCCACACTGCGCTTTCCAGTACGTGGTCTCCATTGGAGAACCATGCTGTCCCATCGGCCGTTAGATCTTGTTGCTATGTGCCCTGCCCATTGCCACTTCAGCGCACTAATCCGTTGGGCTATGTACGCAGGAGAACAAAGGTGGTCGACCTTTGTTCTCCTGCGAATCTCCTCGTTGCGGATTAAATCACGCAGGGAATCGCCAAGCATAGCTCTTTCCACAGTACGCTGAGCGACTGAGCTTTCTAATTAGGCCCATAGTAAGAGACCACGTCTCAGTACCGTATATATATATTTTTAACCTAGTATATTTATTTGTGTTCCACAGCCCATATTATAAGCTATTTAATATGCATTTGCATAGAACAACACTATTTGAATTGAATTTAAACATTTAGGTTAAGATAGTGCTGTGACTAATAACAGCCTGAAATATTAATATTATAATAAATGAAAACCTGACTGTTGCTAAACTTAGTTATAAATTTCTAAATACATACATATTATAGAAAAATTATACCCAGACTCAGAGGAAATGATCATGCACATCACACAATTATGTGTACTGGGTAGGGATTGAACCCACAACCTCTGGCTTAGCAGCCAGGATCACTAACCATCAAACTTACAAGCCTTTTGTTTAAGAAGCCAAATATTTTTGATTCTTCAAATAAATAAGTCATTATTATTTGAGTTACTGCCTTTAAATAATTATGACTCATATAATTTAATGAATTTAAATATAAACATGTTTCAGCTACAAGAAAAATAAACACTTATAATTGGAAACAAAAGTGTAATTCAAACATAAGGCAAAACAATAATATTAATATTACCTATGATAAAAAAAATGTATTCTAAGTCCAATCGGCCGTTTTATCTTCTCAATTTGCATATTTTTTAAATGAAAAGGTAGATGTTGATTATTACATCAGACATTACATCCAGCAATAGAAATCACATAAAATTCAATCTTCGTTAGTTACTCAAACATGATTTTCTCCCTTACATTCCTCCTGGTGATTTTATCGCTTTCTTTCTCTGGCTTTACTTGATGGGATTGGGCCACCATCTCAATCCCCATTGCCAGTTCCCTAAACCTGCCACCACAGATCATGGTATAAGTACATCTGAAATGAACTCTTGTCACTTAAGTTGATGGGGTTGGCAGAAAACTAGCTGTGGATGTTTTAGTTATATAAAATAGAGCAACTCGTATTGTTTCCTTGTTAATACTCTTGCACCTTTTATACTGTATATTAAAAAGTAATGTGAAAAGAAAACTCTAACTTATATTGATGGTGAAATTGATGATGATCACAAAGAGCGTACTTAAATACCAATATTGGAAGGTTTATCAAACTGAGTCCACATCAAAGAGAGCCAGTTAATAGCGCCATTGACACCCACACTCCTGCAACACGTGCTGCACATTTATGTCAACATTTCGTTAGGAAACTACCCGCAAATACGTCATTTGATTACGCACACGCACGTAAATCAGTTTCTCGTTGTGTAATTTAACGATATTTCTGAATGATATAATATTCATTCAAGTCTATGGTAATTAAAAAAAGAAGTTTTTGAGTAGCGATAGTTTTTAATAAAATTATTTACGTAACTGATTCTCTTTAGGGAATTTGTTTCTTTAGGGAAAGTGTTAGGTTCATCAGTTTCAGACGCTTTTTGTCACTGATTGAAGGTGTATACGGGCGTTTGTAGGCACTTACGATCAGGTGACCCCGGTTCGTTTGTCCGGATAAATATTATTATTAATCTTCCTGATTATTATTATTTTCTTTATTATTAATAAATCTCTTTTTCCTCTATAGGTGACATTCATGGTCAGTATTACGACTTACTAAGGTTGTTCGAGTACGGCGGTTTCCCGCCAGAGTCGAATTACTTGTTCCTCGGCGACTACGTTGATCGTGGCAAACAATCACTGGAGACGATATGCATGCTGCTCGCCTACAAAATCAAATATCCTGAGAACTTCTTCCTTTTACGTGGCAACCATGAATGTGCTAGCATTAATAGGATTTATGGGTAAGTTAACTTGTTTTTTTTTTAATGTCTCTTCAGAAATTAAGCCGTACTGTTCTACTGACATCTCCGATCACAGGATTGACATACGTATCGCGCCTTCCAGCCTCTTCGAGCTAGTGCAGCGTCTTAGCTGATGATAGCCACTTAAAAAATAATAATTTCCCAAAGTAATTGGCGTCTAACAAACGCACGATCATAGAAGAAGCCAACTAAAATTTTTGACAGTAAAATTGGCAAAAGGGCAGAATGATAATGGTGATGAAATAATTATCTTATCATATATGACTCAATGTTATGAATTTTCTTTGATATTTAAACAATCCAATTACGTATTACACCACTCTACTACAGCCAGAGGAGATTTATTTATTTTAAAAACAAAAACACACATACTCATACGAGCGTGAACACACGCAAACACATCGATGAATCTTGTGTTGTGAGTGTGTCCACAGTCGGTATTAGTTTTGTATTTGGTAAAATGGTAATTACGTAATGGAATCAGTAAATTTCATGAACGTCAATTTAAATAACCATTAACTGGGTATAAACTTCGTTTTCTATGGGAATACATTTACATATTTGAATATGTCATTGTATGTTTGCAAATTTCTAGGTGCGTCTGGTGGAGCGTATCTTGCCATTAAGATTAATAAATTTATCGGTAAGGCTCGTGGAATTGATTAGTTTTTTTTTTTGATGCGAGAAGGAAATTTTTTACTTAAACGAATTATGAATAACTTCGTAGTTTTTTTTATATCTCAGGTAGTAAAACAAATACAAAACCTTACCTGTTTAATGGTAAACGATTATCCTTATATGTTTACAGTACCAGCTGTGGCACTCAACAATTCATAATATCAATTATATTTACCTTTTAAAGAACTTTCATAATTTTATTATCATATTTGTTCTGGAAATAACAAATTGGGTGTTGTGATTGTTTGTCATAGCTTTAGCTACCTACTTAAAAAAAACAAAAACCAAAAAGCTATTAAATAAACAAATGAAACATAGATTGATTCTTAATTTGGATCTCTATGGTTTAATAAAACATACACAGGATAAGATACGGTGCTGCCCTTGCCTTAGCTGCTTAAAACGAACATGACAGATTCTAAATTTGAATCTCTATCTATCTTTTTTTTTTGTATTTTTATGGCCTGGTAACAAGACCTTTAAGCCAAAAAGCCTCTATCTATCATATCTTATGTAATGTTATTTTATGTTATCTATTATGCGAAATCTATATCTCGTAAATAATAACATTCCTAAAGATTAAGAAAACTAACATTTCCTACATTATTAAACGTGGGTGGATTTGCACATTTTACGCTGTTATTTTAATACGGTATTAATAACACCGTTAGTTCGAATGGCTGGACTTTTTTGGCACATCAAAGAGATTTGACTCGTGATTTAATTATTAAATGGTCACACTGGCGGTTTGACGCATTGCGAGATCGACATTTATTAAATTACGGATACGTGTTTCACAAAACAAGTGTCAGCGTGGGGCGGAGATATAGGATAACTTAATTGGGATATACAACTAGACGTGTGCTTTCTTATCAATAATGTTCATTTTAATGTAAAACTTAATTAACAAATTTGTCTTTAATGCGCGTCTATTTTATCTAAAGTCACTTCATATTTAAAAAATAGCCTTAAGAGAGCCATGCTACGGCACACTACACATACTATATATATATATTCTAAGTTGGGGGGGTGGGGGTTACCAGTCTAGCCACCTTACATCGAGTGACCCTTCTGCTCGTTTACCCACTGTACCATAAAAAATCAAATCAGAAGTAATATCCATTAATTTGACGTTTGACTTGATCGTCAAACGTCAAATTAATGTTTGTTTGATCATATTTTATGGCCTGTCATACAGTTTATGAGGTCATCGTGAATTTTACGTACCTTGCCCTAGCAAGGTACGTAAAATTAGCTAGCTACAGATAAGATCATAGGGTACAGGGTACCTTCCACCCAGAGAGAATAGAAATGTTTTGAGGAATGGAAACAATTACTTTATGCAAGCGAAGTTGCTGGCAAAAGCTAGTCATCAAAACGAATTAATATTTGCATAGCGTACTTGCAGCCGTTAGCATTAGCAATATTATGAATTTCCTTAAGGAAAACATGTTACTGAACAAAAGTCTGGGGTTGTTGCTGACTGCAATTATTGTAATATTGATGCACCATGTAAACAATTTAAACGCTAATATATTTCAGTTCTTTTATTCGCAATGTGTATATTTGTATTTTTATTGATGAGTTTTTAATTCTATTCATCTAGTTGTTCCCCAAATGGGACAACATTTTTTGTAACCAATAAATTGCTGCTCTGAGTCTGGGTATTCTTTGTTTTCGTTACATGTATTCCTGTTAAGTCCCCCGCGACACAGGATATATTCCTAATGCGGGAGTTGTCCTTTAAAAAAAGTGTTAAGGGTTCGAGGTTAAGGGTGGTCTTTAATGGCATGGCAGCGTTAGTTAGTATTTGTCTAATACTTTGTTAATTTTTTAATCCTGCAATGTATATTAGTCGAGTCTAGGACAACATGAACTTGATATCAGCTGCTACTTTGGGCATTCGATTGGTCTATGCCAATCTAAATAGGTATATAAACACGGGTGCCTAACGGCGGCACTCGGCGAAACAGATGTGATAACACTTGGCCGAGGAGTAAAAATGAGCCATCTGGTTTCTGAAAAATACCCAAAAATACAAATAGCGCCCAAGAGTCACAAGAAGCTGGCTCGACCGGAGTGATTCCATGACCTCACAGAAAACCGTTGTTGAGCAATTCGGTCGTTGCTTTCACCGAGTGAGAGGTTACCGGAGCGGAAATCCTCTGCCCGCTCATTCTGGAGGGAGGACTTTGTAATTCTTGCTCTTTCTGTGAAGGCGAGGTAGTTTCTTAAGATTACGTTAGCCCAGCGTTTATTCGCCAAGATTTACCTAAATTAATTTCTTTATTCTCCGTGTTGTGCGAATTTGACGATTCGGTGTTCGATATGATGCCAACGGCCGCATTCTACCACAGTACCGCACGCACGCCCGCCCCACAGCTCTAACTGTATCTTGTAGTTGCTAAATCTCCTTTTTTCCAAAATTTATTGATATGCCATTTAATATGGTAAACAGGTATTCTCCACTATACCAATAAATAAAATTGAAGTGTCTGTTTGCAATGTCAAAATAATAGGTTTTTTTCATGACAATTCAACCAGTTAATTTTTTTTTGTGCGTCAGTTTGTTCCGGGTAATCTTCTGAACCTATATAAGGAGTAACTTAGGCTATTTTTCCTCTCAGAAAAACTCTTTAAAATTTTGCCAGTCCGGAAATCGAACTTACTAAGCTAGTTTTGAAATACAACACCGAGATTTTGATTTTATAAAAATATCGCGAATTAGATGAAATCACTCGAAGAAACTCACTCACAAATTACTGCGAAGAGTCAAATCTTAGAAACTTTCGTTCGCACAATAAAAGTATTTACATAACAGCGTAATGAGTCTTAGAAAAAAAAAACGAAAAACTTATGTAACAACCAGCCTACCAACACGTGTTCCTTAATGTTGCCATTATAAAAAAAGATATTCATTATGATTTTCTAGCGTCTTCACACCAGATAAAATATGAAATAAGATTGCAGTACTCAGATTCTCATTGCCTGATCACCGGGATTACTGTCGCTTAGAAAGTTTTATTGACGGGATATTCATTCATTTATTAATCTGCTTCTTAATGGCGTCTGTGGATTATATTATTGGTATCTAACACTTAAATATATGACTTTTTTCTGATGATTGTAATCTATCAATAAATCAATCTGCCTTTCGCAGTCACACTGCTGGACATAGCCCAGCTCTGGCTAGTGGCGTCTTATTCTTTCTAGTAATTGGGAATTATTTTGTAAAGTACATACAATTTAATAATAAATAATGTTTATTTCAATCCCACAAATAAGTTACAAAAAATATTGAAGAGGTTTAAATGTAGGAACATAAAAGTGTTTAAATAGTTGCGTTTGAAGTTCATATATTTGTGAGAGTCAGGCGCCCAAACTAGGTTACCCTGTGCTATGGACTCCTGGCTGGCCCCTCTCAGATTAGGAAATTATTTTACAGTGTTCAAAGTGGGAGAATAAATTAATATAAAGGAAATACAAACTTAAAAAATAAAAATATGAATTAAATACAAACTAAAAAAAAACTTAGTGGAATGTATTTGGAGTTTGTTGGTGATATTTTCTTGAAGTGGCAGTATGAAAAGTAGCAATAGAGGAGATCAAAATAAGAATTACATAATAGTTCACCATTGATGAGTTTAGCACGTAAATTTACGCGTTTCAAAACTGTAACTCCTTTATTATACGTTCAAAATAAAGTGTTATAATATATTACGTTCTATAGTTTCTTCTGCAATTAAAACTACATTTGAGAACAGATTAATTTCCTTAGTTTTCTACCTTCCTTTTTAATTTATCTATTGTTATTATGAGGCCGTATTTTAATTCACTTTTAAAGAAATCCTAGTTCAGTTGTCCTTGTACCTAGCTTTAATAACCTCCAGCTACAGTCGCTTTGAGGATATAGTAAAGTACTTGCAGATATTATACAATTTTTGTTATTTTCAGTCCTTCTTTTCATATACACAATTATTTCCCGAATAGTCTTGCTGAATTTACTCATTTCTATACTAAAGATTTTCGAGACATTTATTCTTAAAGGTACGGGTTATCTATACTAATATTATAAAGCTGAAGAGTTTGTTTGTTTGTTTGAACGCGCTAATCTCAGGAACTACTGGTCCGATTTAAAAAATTATTTCAGTGTTAGATAGCCCATTTATCGAGGAAGGCTATAGGCTATATATCATCACGCTAAGACCAATAGGAGCGGAGCACCAATGAAGAATGTTTCGAAAACGGAGAAAATTCATTACGATGAGCGCGGGTCAGCTAGTTACGATATAAAAAGTATC